CTCAGATTTGTTCATTTTGTAATGATATCTTCTGTTCTTTAATTGCCATGTGCATTGCTAACAGCGGAGCTATCTCAGCCGACAGGCTGCTTGTTTTACTTCTTCTTAAAAACCATGGGTCTGGTTGCTTTGATATTTGATACATATTTACTTAAGGTGGACCTCTCTTAGTTTTGTACATTTTATGACGATAACTTCAAATCTCTAATTTTGAGGAATATTTTGGTTAAAAGTGATATTTCCAACTTCCCATTGAAAACCACAAGTTTGATTGCATTGATATAAAAGTACCTCAGATGAACATCTTTCAGTTTTATTCATTTCCTAATGTTATCTCCAATTCTCTAATTTTGATGAATTTTGTTGGCATTTCTAGTAAAAAGTCATCTTCTTAACAATGGCTATCCAAATTGCTTTAATATATTTTATATGTAGACACTTTGGGTGGACCTCAGTCAGATTTGTTCCTTTTGTGACAATATCCTCTATTCCTTCATTTTGGCAAAAAAATGCTACTTTTGACTTATTTAAAACAGCTTGCCTGACTGCCTTGATATTTTATGTGTAGGACCACTCAGATTTGTTGATTTTTTTATGACGATAATTTCAGTTCTTGTATGTTAGTAATTTTTTTAGCTCTGCTGTCGAGGAAGTCGAGCAGAGTTTATTGTATTACTGATTGTCCGTCGGCGTCCAGCATCTGTCGCTGTTGCCATCGTCAACTTTACATTTTCGACTTCTTCTTGAAAACCACAAACCGTATAGCTGTGAAACTTTCTAGGTACCTTGGATGGTTCTCTCTCAGATTTGTTCATTTCGTGTGGATGTGTTCAATTGTCTTATTTGTAGCGAATATTTTTGTCATTTTTGGTCAAAAATGCTATTTTCGACTTCTTCTTGAAAACCGCTAGCCCAAATGCTTTGATACTTGGTATGTAGGCATCTTGGGTAAATCTCTGTCAGATTTAGTAATTTTATGACGACATCTTCAAATCTCTAATTTTAGTGAATATTTGTGTAATTTTTTGTAAAAATGTTATTTTCAACTTCTTGTTGAAAACCTCTAACCTGATTGCTTTGTAAATTTATTTGTAGGTACCTTTGGTGGATGTCAGTCAGATTTGTTATTTTTATGACGATATCTTCAATTCTCTAATTTTAGTTAAATATTTTTGTCATTTTTGGCTCAAAAATGATATTTTCGACTTCTTCAAAATTGTTAACCTGAATGCCATGATTTGTGGTGTATATGTACCCTGGGTACACATATTGTTCACTTCCTGTCAACATCTTCAATTCTATATTTTTAGCAAAGTTTTTCATCAGTTTTCATCAAAAAACATATTTTTGACTTGTCCTTCAAAACCAGTAGTCCAAATTCTTTGATACTTGTACACATGCAGCTTGGGTAGACCTCTATTAGATTTGTACATTTCGTAAAGATATATTCAATTCTCTACTCTTAGTGAAATATTCTCTGCAACAAAATCAAGAAAGTTTGTGTCTTGCGATATTAAAGCAGCTAGCATTAAGTTTAAATTGCTTCTTAGTCATTGCTTTCAGAGCATGCATCACAAACAGCGGAGCTATATCAGCCAACAGGCTGCTAGTTTTTCATTTTTAATAATTTCTGATGTTTTTTTGAAAACCATCAATGGAATGTAGGTGCCTTAGATGGATTAATGTTGGATTGATTTGCTTCCTCTATCATATTAATTTATTTACTGTTGATAAAATTGTCTCATTCAAGTGAATACCAATATCTGAAAAAAATGCATGATTAATATCAATAATAATGTATGATGTCACCAAGCAAATTTTGTAGATATGAAGAAATAATCTAACTATGGAAATCAATGTAAAAATGACAATTTTTAGCATTTTCCAAACCATTTCAGACTTATGTGTCTCAATAAATTGTTCTTTTAGCCTCACTTTTTCCCCCATTTTCATTGTTCACATGGTATAAACACAAAATAAGTATAATCTTCAATTCAATGTGAACCTTCTAAATTTTGTTCATTGACATGGGATAGTCATATTACTATTGATATGAAAAATTAATTTAGTCAGTTTTATAGTTATTATAGTTTTTAGCTCCGCTGTCGACTTTGTCGAGCGGAGCTTATATGAGTGATTGTCCGTCGTCGTCGTCCGTCGTCCGTGTCAATGTTTTACTTTTTCGACTTCTTCTTGAAAACTACAAGCCTGAATGCTTTGATACTTGGTGTATATGTACCTTGGGTAGACCTCTCTCAGATTTGTTCATTTCATGATGATATCTTCAATTCTCTAATTTTGGTGAATATTTTTGTCATTTTTAGTAAAAAGTGATATTTTCGACTTCTTGTTGAAAACCGCAAGTCCAATTGCTTT